AAACCGCTTAGAGAGGGCTGAAAGCCCTATGAAGCGGTATATAAGTCTAACTGCTACTGCTATTGCTAGGTAAGAAAAACCAAATACATAGGTAGTACCTTGCTCAATAGTAGTAACTGTGAAAGGGATCTTGGAATTCTAGTCCACAATCACTTAAATAGGTGCCAAAAGTATGCTGCCGCTGCAAAAAAAAAGTCAACACAGTTGTAGGCTGCATTAACAGAGAAATATAATCATAATCAAGATCACATATAGTGTTAATACCACTTTGTAATACCTTGGTAAGATCACACTTGGAATACTACATCCAATTTTAGTTGCCATGATGTAAAAGAGATGCTGAGACTCTAGAAAGAGTGCAGAGAAGTGCAACAAACATAATTAGTGGACTGGAGGTTAAGGACTGGAATTGGGTATGCCTAGTTTAATGAAAAGAAGGATAAGAGGGGGGCATTATAGTAATGTTCCAATATCTCAGGGGTTGCCACAAAGAAGAGGGAATACAAAGCACCTGAGGATAAGACAAGAAGCAATGGGTGGCAACTAATCAAGGAGAGAAGCAACTTAGAACTAAGGATAAATTTCCTAACAGTTACAACAATTAATCAGTGGAACAACTTGCCTCCAGACTCCAGGCTCTGCGTCTTGCCAAAGGGCAGCACTCCAAACGCAGCATAAGCCATGGCCAGGGCAGAGGGAAAGTGGCGGCACCGGAGGAAGCGGCAGCTGATGAAGGTCCTGCGATGCAAAGTGCCCCGCCGCCCCTGGGGCCAACATCCATGCCGCCGCCACTGCCACCGCCCGTCCACTGCCCCGGCCTGAAGCCAGCACCATATCCAGGTCTGCAGCAAAGGCGCTTGGTGGGGGGTCGGAAGCTGTCCAAGCTCCACCATGATTGCGCCACTTCTAAGCATCCCGCCTCCAATGGCAGGCATGGCAGAATGGCTTTAAAGTGCCGGCGTGGCTTTCCGCCATAGAGCGGGATACGTCCTGCTGTATGGCTGGCATGGTAGCATGGCTTTAAAGTGCTGGCATGCTGCCGTGCCTGCCATAGAGCAGTGCTGGCCATACAGCAGGACGTGTCCCGCTCTATGGCGGAAAGCCACCCTGGCACTTTAAAGCCATGCCGCCGACACGTCCTGCTGTATGATCGGTGGGGTGGCATGGCTTTACAAAATAAAAAATAAAGTGCCAGCCCGCGCACCAGCAGAGGCAGCTAAAACAAACACATACACACATACACACACACACAAATTACTTATAATAATACAAATTACAATTACTTACAAATTATCTTAATTTTGAATTCCACAGAGGATTTCAACTCTCCTATTGTCTGCCATGATGAAAATGTAAAAAATGTAAAAAGAAAAAGGCAAAGGCTGCTGAAGTAAGAGTTAGCTGCTGTCAGAGTCCCCAATGGATGACTCTGCTTAACTGTTTAAAAAAAGCCTCTAAAAAAAGTGCCCTCTGCAGGAGGGGCGAGAGAACCACGTGCCTCCTCTGCATAAGGGATTTTTCACCTTTTAACCCTTGCTTAACTCTGCTCAAGTGATCATAAAGTCAGACTAAAAGAGGCACGTGGTTCTCTCGCCCCTCCTGCAGAGGGCACTTTTTTTAGAGGCTTTTTTTANCTAAAAAACTTCTCCTTCAAATTGCCCTGACTTTGTCAGCCTTAAAAGACTGGAATTTTTACTTCCAGACGAAGACTTTAAACCTGCTTTTCTCAGAGATTTTGTGATATCCCAGAGATCAGCAAGATGTAATTTTCCTGTTCACCATCTCTTCTGGATGATTTAGGTCCGTTAGAACCCCCCAGCAATAAAAGTATCGAGTGCAATCTCAGAGCTTTGAAATCACACGTCGTCTCGTCACGGCATCCAGGCTCCGCCCCCCAAGAAAGCAATTTTCTTTTTAATCCTATATTATTCAGTTCAATGTGCTATGGGGAGAGAAAATAAAATGTATATATTCAGAAAAAGATAAAGAGCTTATTCACATGTTTTCTACTTTTGTTAGAGCTACCTAAATTAAACCATCATCATCAAAAAAATTATTCCAATTTCACAGTTGATTAGCTTGCCATTTATTTCTTGGTATAAAATGCTGTCATCATGTTTGCATAGCTGATTGAGGGAATAATGGAACAAATGCAGTTCCCGCAAGCAGCATGAGTCTGCAAGAAAATATAATTGGTCAAAGCCAGCAGCATTTTGTTTGGATCGTCTTGTACTCTGAAATTACTCTAAATCAATACGATTTCTATTTTGCCCTTCTATAAGAGAAAACTGTGTGTGTGTATATGTGTGTGTGTTGCTTCTGCTAGGTCATTGTTTCTAACACTGAAACACACAAAAGAGATTCACCTCAGATTAAAATATGTTTCTATATAAAGATGACCACTTGCAGATATCTGAGTTTGCATTTAGACTCTGCAATTTGTCAGCTTCAGCTGTATCCCTAGCTACAATGAGTCACTTCACTTGCTTTAGATTTATATCCCATGTGCTGGAGAATTGCCTTATTTATTTATCAAATTTCTGCACTGTCCATCTCATCTAAGTGACTCATATATTGAAGCAAGAGGATAATTACTAATATCTATGGTCATGTTTTAGAGCTATATGGAAGAAAGGCAGAATTATTTTATGGACTGGTTTTTTATATTGTAAAAGCAGAAGGCAGAAGCAATGCCATTCCATGCAAACTATATTTATAATTTGACTTCCTCATTTAGAAAGAATCAAGAACAAATGGCTGGAAACCATAAAATTAGCAATGTTTTCAGTTGCGCATGAAGTAAACATAGAAAAGAACAATGTTCAAATATTTTAAAAGGAATCCAAATACTTTAAACTGCCAAGTATATTTTTATAAAACATTTTATATGGACTTTGCATATTTTTATAGGGGAAGATATATGACCACATCTTGTAAACTGATTTCACCAGTGTGATTCCTGATGTTTTGGACTGAAAGGGCATTAACCTAAATTTCTGGAAGGAGCTAATGAAGTTTTCTTCTTTTAGGTTACTTTAAGATAGATTTTATACACACACACACACACACACACAATTTACAAAATAAGCAAGGCAGTATATGTCAAAGACAGGTACTATAAAATACTTGCATTTACTTGGTGGTTAAATTTATTTATTGCCTATCTCATCAGGAGGCTACTCTGGATGGCTTACAACAATAAAAAGGAAGAAATGAAAAGAGTGCAAATAAAACAGAAGTAAAGTAATAGAATAAAATAAACACTGAAAAAGAAAACTAGAATACATAAATATGATAATGAGGGTGGATGGTGGAGAGCAGAGAGCCAGGTGGGAGAAATGGACTCTACCATCGTCCAGCATGGAACCCTCTATTTGGTCCTCAGGACAATTGGCAGAGCCAGGTCTTCCACCTCTTGCAGAACAATAGGAGGGTGGGGGAAGATATTACCCTGAAGAGGGGTGTCACATTGTCACGTGACGTATCATGACTTTTTTCCCCTTTGCTAAAATGGGGGTAAGTGTTGCCAGCCTGTGAAGCATCCAGCCCGTGGACACGAGTTTGACAACCCTGCCCTAGAAGGTAGGAAGTTCCAATATAAGATGTAATTGGTTTTTAGAAAATATATTATTAGATACACAATTTTCTCTATATATTGAGTGACTATGCATCTAAAAACTATACCTATTGTAAATCCCATAAACACATAGATTTTTTTAAAGAAAATCAAAACTTTCCTAAGTATATCCTGTTAAAATCAACAGGGATTATACTGTATAGTAGAGATTTTACCCATAATATTAATACTGTGGATTCAAATACATTTGGAGGATCTATGGTCTAAGAGCTGAAGAAGCTTCTAGCTTCAAAGAAAAATCAGAAAGTCCAATTGCCTCTTGAAAAAGCACCTTTGAAATATACAATTGTAGTCTATTAATGGTATCAGTTAAAAATGGATTCCATTAAATGTTTAACAAACACGCTTCATATAATAGTATCCAATATGTGAATATTTAACTTGATAAATGATATTGTATTTGGCAAGAGTCAACAAATACAACATTTCAAGCAAAATGTAAATCCTGAGCACATGCAAATAGCAGACTGATTACAATACTTCATTGAAATGTCTTAGCTAAGGTTGAATGTTTAGCCAAAGCTGAATAAGTAAACAAGTATTTGAAAGTCTATTCTGACTTACTTTCTTTTAAAGGGGTCCTTTCTAAATTCATCCTGAACTCTTTACGTACCCTTTTAAGGAAAGATCTTAACCTTCTTTCATAGAATTATGGTATACTGCAAAGGACACTGAAGAAAGTTCTTAAAATGCATGCAGTCAAAATAGGAAACTATTACAAATTTACTATCTATGAAAAAAAGGTAAGCTCTTTTTCAAAGAAATGCTTTCATCATTGATGACTTTTGCATTGAAAAGCCTTTGAAAAAGAAATGGGTAAAAGACCAAAGAATTTCCATGGAATTTAAATAACAAATAGCTGCTCTAAGAACATTACATACTTATTGAAAGTTTTTTTCAAGCATGGGGAAGTAAGGAGATACGGCAGGAAAAGGACCTGTAGAGGCCACGGCGGCAGTGGCAACAACTCTGAGAATTTGTTGGGAAACAGCCAGAATGACAACTTTGGATTCTCAAGTCTTCTGTCTGCAGAGCAGTGACAGCAGAAGCTGAAATATTCTTTTGGCAAGTGGGGCCGGAGGCGGCGACGCTGGCACTACTGAGGGCCCGCCTCTACCACGCCGCCCCACCCACCCTCCTGCCGCTGCCGCTCCCTCAGGCAGGTGGCCGGGCCGGGCACAGGCAGAAAAGCTGTGAGCAGGCCTCGCACGCTCGCCCTTGGGCCTCCCACCGCCATGGAGAAGAGGTGGTCTCCGCCGCAGCGCTGGCCCGTCGGCGTGTTTGCTGCCCCACTTCTCGCCTGGGCAATGGCCGGTTTCCGCGCTTTGGGTTTGGACCCCTGGTGTTTCAGGCAGAGCAGCTGGGCTTGTCAAGGCCCACCCCGGTGCAGGAAGCCTGCATCCCTCCCGCCCTGCAAGGTCGCGACTGCATGGGCTGTGCCAAAACAGGAAGTGGAAAGACAGCTGCCTTTGTGCTCCCCATCTTGCAGAAACTTTCTGAAGATTCTTTTGGCATCTTCTCCCTGGTCTTGACACCAACAAGAGAACTGGCCTATCAGATAGCTGAGCAGTTCCGTGTCCTTGGGAAGCCTCCTGGTTTAAAGGACTGCATCATTGTTGGGGGAATGGATATGGTCTCTCAAGCCCTGGAGCTGTCTCAGAAGCCCCATGTTGTCGTCACTACCCCTGGCCGCCTGGCTGATCATCTGAGAAGTTCCAACACCTTCAGCCTTCGAAACATCAAGTTCTTTATCACCACGGCCCTCACAGAGAGAGAGGACAAGGACGAGGAGGACGGGGAGCCTGCCCCCCCAACTAGCACCAACTACCCCAACCGCCTCAGACTTTCTACATTATTTCCAGGCCCCGCAGGGGAGAAGACCGAGGAACCCCTCCCGCCCCAAATTACTACCGGCCCAGTCGCCTCGGACTTGCGCTGACCACCTTCTTTACGGACTTAAGAACTGCATTTTTTAGCTGGTGTGTTGAGTGAATATATGAATGTGAGAGAGAATGCGCCCACTTTTTAATTTAATTAATTATTGTATCACTGTATTGTATTTTAATGATTACTGTGGGGTGTGTCTGAGGAGAATGTTTGATTAATGTATATGATAGGACCGGGAGTGCGACCTGGAGCCCCCTCCACTGAGTGCAGAAGCAGAAATGGATGGGGGCCCAGACCTGCCTCCCGCCCTAGAGTGAATGGTGCATGTGGCCTGCTGGGAAGAATGGGGGCCATGGGGAAGGGGGGTCTACAGGGATGGGGGAGGGTCAGAGCATTTTGGTTATGACCGGGAGGGGCAGATATGACGAGAGCTGTAGGGCTAGCCATTACCGGGGAAGAAGGACTCGCTACATTACAG